GCCCTGGCTCTCCTCCAGAGGCGCAGTGCTCGCGGAGAGGCATGCGCGGAGCTCTCGGGTCAGCACTGGGCCCCCCTCCGCACAATACCCCCCCACTCGGGCGCTGGTGCACGAGGGGGCAAGGAATGCAGGGGGGGGGAGGGGAGAAGCGCGCACCTTGCGTGCCCCTCGTGGGCACCAGGGGCCAGGGGGCCCCTGGAGGGCCCCTGCAGGGCACAAAAGGTGCACCTTCAGTCCCCCACCATCGAGCGCCTCCCCATTACGCAACGCCGGACTCACTCGCGCGCAGAGCGCGCCGGGGCCGGCACCGGAAGCGCCGCCCAGAGGCGTGGGGAGTGGGGTCCAGCACCGACCCAAGAGATCCGCGCAGAACTCCGAAAAAATCGAACAGCCCTCTGGGCGTGGGTGGCTTGGCGAGGTCGTTCTTCCGACCCCCTTCTTCCCGTTCGGTGAGGAGGTTTACCTTCCCCCTGACCCCTCCCCTGGGTCTGGACAGGAGGGGCAGGGGGCGTGTTCAAAGCCTCCAAGATGCCCAAGCATGGCTCCAAGAGGGCCTCAAACAGCCCAAGATTGTCTCCAAGATGGCACACGATGGCCCAAGGTGGCGCAAGATGACTTCCAACATGCCTCCAAGAGGGCCCAAGACAACCGCAAGACATTTTGAAGCGGCCACCGAGCCTCCCAAGGATGCCCCTGGGAGGCCAAAACCATTCAATCGGAAGCAGCAGCGTGGAATGGGGATTCCCCGCTGCAAAGTCCCCGCGGAGAACCGCGTGCAACGCGTCCGTCTCCTCCTCCTCCTCATCTTCCTCATCGGCCTCCTCTTCCTTCGCATCCTCCAGGCCCTCCATGTTTCCGATCGTGTCATTGGGGTTCCTCCTCCACCAGCACCTGCTCCTGCAACCCCCTGAAGCACGACCGCCCTTGCAGCCCCCTCCTCATCGTCGTCGTCCTCATCCTCCTCCTCGCCGTCCTGCCCATCCTCCTCTTCCCGCTCCCTCTCTTCCTCCTCTTCCTCTATCTCCTCTTCCACCTCCTTCTCCTCCTCCTCCTCCTCCTCCTCCTCCGCCTCCTCCTCCTCCGCCTCCTCCTCTTCCTTCACGGCCTACTTCGGGCGGTGGCGCCCGCGGGCGGGTTGAAATGTGTCGCCTGGTTGCGGATGCGGTTGCGGCTGCGCCCGCGAGCGGGTTGAAATGTGTCGCCTGGTTGCGGTTGCGGTTGCGCCCGCGGGCGGGTTGAAATGTGTCGCCTGGTTGCGGTTGCGCCCGCGGGCGGGTTGAAATGTTTCGCCTGGTTGCGGTTGCGGTTGCGCCCGCGGGGGGGTTGAAATGTGTCGCCTGGTTGCGGTTGCGGTTGAGCCCGCGTGCGGCTGGAAATGTGTCGAATGATTACACTTGCGGTTGCGCTCGCGGGCGGGTTGTCATGTGTCGCCTGGTTGCGAATGCGGTTGCGGCTGCGCCCGCGAGCGGGTTGAAATGTGTCGCCTGGTTGCGGTTGCCGTTGCGCCCGCGGGCGGGTTGAAATGTGTCGCCTGGTTGCGGATGCGCCCGCGGGCGGGTTGAAATGTTTCGCCTGGTTGCGGTTGCGGTTGCGCCCGCGGGGGGGTTGAAAGGTGTCGCCTGGTTGCGGTTGCGGTTGCGCCCGCGTGCGGCTGGAAATGTGTCGAAGGGTTACACTTGCGGTTGCGCTCGCGGGCGGGTTGTCATGTGTCGCCTGCTTGCGAATGCGGTTGCGGCTGCGCCCGCGAGCGGGTTGAAATGTGTCGCCTGGTTGCGGTTGCCGTTGCGCCCGCGGGCGGGTTGAAATGTGTCGCCTGGTTGCGGATGCGCCCGCGGGCGGGTTGAAATGTTTCGCCTGGTTGCGGTTGCGGTTGCGCCCGCGGGGGGGTTGAAAGGTGTCGCCTGGTTGCGGTTGCGGTTGCGCCCGCGTGCGGCTGGAAATGTGTCGAAGGGTTACACTTGCGGTTGCGCTCGCGGGCGGGTTGGCATGTGTCGTCTGGCTGCAGTTGCGGTCGCGGTTGCGCCCGCGGGCGGGTTGAAATGGGTCGCCTGGTTGCAGTTGCGGTTGCGCCCGCGAGCTGGTGGAAATGTGTCGCCTGGTTGCGGTTGCGGGTGCGCACGGGCGGTTTGAAATGTGTCGCCTGGTTGCAGTTGCGGTTGAGCCCGCGGGAGGGTTGAAATGTGTCGCCTGGTTGCGGTTGCGGGTGCGGTTGCGCCCGCGGGCGGGTTTAAGTGCGTCGCTTGGTTGCGGTTGCGGTTGCGGGTGCGCCCGCTGGCGGGTTGATACGAGTCGTCTGGCTGCGGTTGCGGTTGCGCCCGCGGGCGGGTTGAAATGTGTCGTCTGGTTGTGATTGCGTTTATGCCCGCGGGTGGGTTGAAATGTGTCGCCTGGTTGCAGTTGCGGTTGCGGTTGCGCCCGAAGGCGGGTTGAAATGTGTCGCCTGGTTGCGGTTGCGGTTGCGCCCGCGGGCGGGTTGCAGTGCATCGCCTGGTTGCAGTCGCCATTGCGCCCGCCGCGGGCGGGTTGAAATGTGTCGTCTCGTTGCGGTTGCGGGTCTGCCTGGACGGGTTGAAATGTGTTGTCAAAAGTGCCCCTCCAGTTCAGTCAGTTCAATTCAGCTCAGTTCAGTCGGTCAGCGGAGGCACGGAATTTCACCCGAGTCCGCCGGGAATAACGGATGAATGCTCAACACTGCTTGCCTTCTCACCTTCTCGCTCCCGATGGGCTCCTGAGGCCTCAAGATTACTCCAAGATCGACCGAGAGAGCCTAGGAGAAGACCCCGGAGGGCACCAAGACGATACACAGAACGCCCAAGAACGCCCCAAAAAGCTACCGTTCGGCCTCACACCCCTTCGCGCAAAGCCAAAGTTGTTGAAGCATGTAAGTTGTTGAAGTGCTTTGGCCTTTCGGGGCCATCCGTGGGAGGCTTTTGGGCTAAGATGGCTCCAAGATGGCCTCCAAGATGGCGCAATATGATCCAAGATGGGTCAAGATAGCGTCCAGCATGCCTTTAAAAGGACCTAAGGCGGCGGCTCCAAGTGGTCTCGGAGCATCCCAAGGATGCCCCCGAGAGGCCAAACCCTTTCAAACACCTACAGCGGTGTTAATGTAGCTTGGTTTCTTGTGCGTTCGATTCCGACAGGCTTCTGGCTGGGGCCTCAAAATGACACTAGGATCGACCAAGAGAGCCCCAAGATGGTCCCAGAGGGGCTCAAGACAGGACCAGCAGCGCAAGAAACGCCCCACGAGCGTCCCAAGAGAGCTCCAAGAGGCGATGTATCGGGTTCCGACGGGGGGGCGCCAATTGCGCAAGAGCCTCCCCCTTGCAAGGGATGCCCTCCAATCCATGTGGCTCCAGAGTGCCTCCAAGAGACTCCGAGAGCGAAAGATCCCCGAAGGCCTTTAAGGTTCACTCCTGTCGTCGACGTTGCCTTCTTCCTCGCCCCTCCTCCTCCTGCTCCCCTCCTCCTCCTCCTCCTCCCCCTCCTACTCCTCCTCCTCCTCCTCCCTCCTTCCTCTCCTCCCTCTCTCTCCTCCTCCTCCTCCTCCTAATCGCCTTCCTTCTCATGCTCCCAACCTAATCATCCCCTCTCCCTCATCTCACGTCGGGCCTTCTTCCTAGTCCTCCCCCTCTCCCTCCTCCTCCTCCTATCTCCTCCTCCTCCTCCTCCTCCTCCTCGTCCTCCCCTCCTCCTCCTCCTCCTCCTCCTCCTCCTCCTCCTTCTCCCCCTCCTTCTCCATCTCCTCCCCTCCTCCTCTCTCCTCCCTCACCTCTCTCCTCACTCCTCCTCTCCTCCTCCTCCTCCGCGCCTCTTCCTCCTCCTCCTCATCCCTCCTCCTCCTCCTCCTCCTCCCTCCTCCTCTCCTCTCCCCTCCTCCTCCCCTCTCCTCCTCCTCCTCCTCCTCTCCTCCTCCTCCTCCTCATCCTCTCCTCCTCCTCCCCCCCCCTCCTTGGGCGCCGGCCCAGCTTCGCGGCGCCGGCCCGCGTCAGCCTATGCTGCGCGTGCCGGGCCACCCACCCCCTCTGTCGGCAGCACGAGGCAGGGGCGCTGCGACGCCCGCTGCGAGAGGGGGAGGGCAACTTGTCGTGAGGTCATTGGTCCCCCTCCTCCTCTCCTCCTCCTCCTCTCCTCCTCCTCTTCTTCTCTTATTCTTCTGCCCTTCTTCTCTTCATTCTTCTTCTTTTCTTATTATTCTTCTTCTTATTCTTATTATTCTTCTTCTTCTTTTTCTTATTATTACTATTCTTATTCTTCTTCTTATTCTTATTCTTATTATTCTTATTCGTATTATTCTTCTTATTCGTCTTCTTATTCTTATTATTATTATTATTATTATTATTATTATTCTTATTCTTATTATTATTATTATTATTATTATTCTTCTTCTTATTCTTATTCTTCTTCTTATTATTCTTATTCTTCTTATTATTATTATTCTTCTTCTTTTTCTTCTTCTTCTTATTATTATTATTATTCTTCTTCTTCTTATTCTTATTATTCTTCTTCCTCTTCTTATTATTATTATTCTTCTTCTTATTATTCTTATTCTTCTTCTTCTTATTATTATTATTATTATTCTTATTATTCTTCTTAGTATTCTTATTCTTCTTATTCGTATTCTTCGTATTCGTTTTCTTCTTATTATTCTTCTTCTTCTTAGTATTATTTTTCTTCTTCTTCGTCTGATTCTTATTCGTTTTTTTCTTCTTCTTATTATTATTCTTCTTCTTCTTCTTATTCTTATTCGTATTCTTCTTTTTCTTATTATTATTCTTAATATTCTTCTTCTTCTTATTATTATTCTTCTTATTCTTCTTATTATTATTATGTTTATTATTATTATTCTTCTTCTTCTTCGTTGTCTTCTTCTTATTATTCTTCTTCTTCTTCTTCCTCCTCCATCTCCTCTCCTCCTCCTACTCCTCCTCCCTACTCCTCCTCCTCCTCCCCTCATCCTCCTTCACTCCCTACTTCCTCCTCCTCCTCCTCTCCCTCCG